GGCCAATACCGAACCCTAGGTATCGGAATCGGTATCGGAGGCGAAAAAGGCGGATCGGAGCATCCCTACTATATATATATATATATATATATATATACAGTATATTCATATGAAGCAGGCCACCTCATGGGATCTTACAAGTTGAGATCACATGACCAGCCATATACTACTATAAATAAATTAAATAAACAATTAAATGAATTGTATTATTTTAGTGGGTCCCCTCATGTGGACAGGCATGCTCTGAGATCACATGTCCAGCTGCATAAAAAAGTATGTGAAATTATCTTTTCATTTGAAAAAAAAAATATGTTTTTTAAACAAATGGACTGAAAAGTGAAGTAATAATGAAGGTTAAGTAGGCTAATGAAGTCAGCTTAATGCTAATATTTACATAAGATGCAATTTTATGTCATGGCAGTGGAATTACAACACAGACGAACTGTATACATACTTCAAAGTACTTCCCCATCATCAACAAAGTCCTGTACATACATTCAGTGCATAGTGTCAGTATATAAATTGAGACTCAGTTCAAAACTTCAATAATGCTACTAAAAGTTAAAAGCCTTTCTTCTTATGTTGGGTGTTTGGTACCATTCAATGATCCTAATATAACAGAGGGTGTATTTGCCAGCCTGGGGTGTCAGTGGGGGTTGTGTGGCTGAAGGCTGTGCTCTTGGGTGTTAATGTGGACCAGATGTCTGTCTCAATGGAGCCAAAGAGCCTCAATAGTTTTCTATGCAAATGCAGAGTAGAAAAACACTTCTTTTAATAATGTGTGTTTCATGTACCCTGATCTTTGGCTTCAATCCACTTCTAGGGTCAACAGGGCCAAAACACTCTATATGGGAATGTGGGAATGGATGAGAGCACAACACAGTCTCTACCCATTACTAAAACCCCAAAATAAAAGCAATTAAGATTTGTTTTAGTTTTAAAACCCTAAGGAGACCTATTATGAAAATGAGAGCCAGAGTTATTTGGATTTAATTAATCACGTGCATCTGCAGTCTTGTTCCTGCTTGTTTGGGTTCGGTGTAAAAAGCACAGAAAGTTTGTGGGTGAAGAGACAACTAACCCTCAGGTGATCCCAGCTCTAAAGCTCCACAAATAGCACAATGTTCTCATCTGCAGATCGATCTGAGCCTGGAGGCCTTTGGAGATCCCAAGAAACATGTTGGATCCATTATGCAGACCCTCTGATTACTGTACGACACAAAACATGTGGTCCATCTTTCCCATGGATGGGTGGGCATTGTTAACCCCATACTGGCCACAGAGCTTTATTAAAGCATTAACATAGCACAAATACTCAGGTTTGTGAGAGCAAACAGATCAAAGAAAGCTGTGATTGGCTAAGGTATTTAGGAGTAACCAATCACTGATCAGGATTCTGATACTTTTCTTATTTGTTTTTTTATTAAGTTCTATTACATACTTTTCCCTCTCTTTTTTTAAGAAAGCTGAATTTTCAGCAGCCATTACTCGTCTTTAGTGACACATGTTCCTTCAGAAATCATTCTTACAGGCTGATCTTGTGCTAAAATACCATTTATTATTAGCAATGTTGAAAACACTT